AATTAACAAAATATGTAAACACATTACAGGAGCAAAGCTTATTTGTCTGTGCATTTTAACAGTCAGCAAAATATGTAAACAATTTATACATTAATTATTTATTTATTAGCACGAGGGGAAAAATATATAAAACAAAACAATGCAAGAGTATAACAAAAGACACAATATATAGAATAGATATCACAAATGTGCAGGAGAAACCAAAAAACCCTAAGGGCAATGGTCATCATTACACAGAATAATTCACACATTAGAAGTGTGAGTCAGAGGATTACCTGTATGAGAAAAGGAGTGCATGCTCTCGGTCAAAGGTTAACACTGCAGCGTTTTATGTTGTTTCCTTGAGCTTATGTCGAGAAAGCATAATTGGCCGTCTATATCGATTCTAGCTCACCATACAATAACCATAATCACAGTGATTCAATCATAGTTGATCTCAATTAGCGTTACGTTACGTCGGTTTATATTCTGTCGGCTCTGCTCAGTGTTTTCAGCTCTGTTTCGTTTTGAAACACTTAGCAACATACCCAGATAGCACACATACATCTGGCCAACGTCGGCCTGAGGACGACACATCGGCCCTGAATTTATAACGTCTGACAAGCGTCGGCCGCATGGGCGGATATCTTTAAATTTAATACTCTTTTGTCCCAGCTCATCAAACGTCTCTGTTACGTTGGCTTTGGGTCAGCCCAGTGCCGTAGAATGTCTGCCCACATACGGAAGTCGCCGCAGAGGCGGGATTACATCTCCGCGATGTTTGTTCGGAACTGAGCTCGCAGCACACAGCATCTCATCGCAGTTGGTTTCAGGTAAGCTAACTGGAATAAACTGGCAGAAAATAGCTTTGTTGTTTCTTCTGTGACCGTTAAAAGAGGTTCCTGGTGAGTGGCGAGGCACGACTGGGTGTATATAGCTTAGCACATGTCCCCACCAACTAACGTTATCTTTCGTTAGCTGTTAGCTAGTTTAGCGGTTTAGTTCATGTTATGCTAACAGGCTACAACTGTGGTGTTTTCATTTTATTTTCCCTAGTTGACGTTATCTGCTCATCTGGTTATCGTGAGCACTCGTTTTGGGTTAAAGTGGAAGTGCACGGAGCTGCCACCCGTGGTCCCGCGGCCCCCCGGTCTGACCTCCGGGGCCCTGGACGTGTGCTCAAGTGTCTGGGAGAGGAGCGGAGAGGAGCACGGAGGTCAGGCGGGGCCGGCCGACACTGTGTATCCCAGAACGGGTGCTGAAGTGTCGGTGAGACCAGCAGAGAGGAGCGCGGAGGTGAAATAGTGAAGTTTAAGGATGCCTTCAGTATGTTGTTAATGTGATTTTATGGGCAATTTATCAGTCGAGGTCTCCTCCTCTGCAAAGCAAACTGACCCAGTGGCTACAGGTAATAGAGCATTTTTGAAACCACAGTTTTTCCGAGATGAAGGACTGATTGTTGAGCTGCTGTTAACAGTTAACGGAGTTAACGGATCCCGTTATTTAACCGTTTCAACACTAAATTAAGCAGAGTGACGGACCCAAAGCCTTCAATCTGGCTAAAAGACAGCTGAAATGCTAAAAAAAACAATACAAGTTGGGATTTGTTTCTTGAAGTTATGTGCTCATCATCTTTTCTGTGTCTTGCAGGCTGCCAGGAGAAGCGGACTGGCCGTCAGATATTGTTTGTGGAAATTTGAAAATAAAGTTTGTCAAATTGACTTTTGTCTCTTCATTGTGCACACTTACACACGAAATAGGGTAACAGTCAGCTATTTTTTGAATGTTAGCACTGATTTGTCACATTGGATGGTGAAATATTTGTAGTTTGAAAGGTCAGACCTAAATGAATAAAGGTCGTAGTTAACGAAGCATATGAATATTAATGAAGGAACGCCTACTGAGCGCAGCTTATTTTATTGATCGTTTGAACATCGCGTGGTGGTCATTTTTGATTAAAGGCCAACGTCTCAGCGACGTCTTGGCAATGAGCAAACGCTCTCCCTGCTACGTCTTAACGATCTAAACTTGATACATCGGGCCGACGTCGGCCAGATGTATGTGTGCTATCTGGGTAGCTGCTAATACGGCTATTAGCTAATCAGTTAGTATTAGCTCCTAAACAAAAACAGAAAACCTAGTCGCCATTTAGGAGGACCGATACGGCTCAAATGTCCCGTATACGTCGAGAGTTACATATTATGACAATCTCAGTAAAACCGAAGTCCCTCACACAATAACTGACGTTTGCATGGCATAATTTGCAATGGCTGTAAAGCTGTGGATGATGGTCACGGAGATGAGCCAGCAGATTTGTAGTGTTGCTACCCTTCGCAGCAACTTTCTTTCTGCATGTTCTGCACAAAGGATAGTTGTCCTCCACCAGCTGTCCCTCGGCATTCTTCAGAAACCCAAAGTACGCCCAGACCTCAGACTTAGTGCGTTTAGTTGGGGGGAAAATGTCCTGAGTGTCGCTATCACCACCTTCCGCCATGTTTTCATTCTTTGTGTTTACACATGCTACGCATTAACGCAGAGCCTGCATAGCAAGACTTGAATGAGGCTGTTATTACATATCCTGATAATCCACCGAGATAATGCAATTAATTTAAACATAAACGGTCATTCTTACCGTGTAAAAATTAACCGAGATTTACTGTAATATCAGTAATCGTTACATCCCTACCAGATAGGGCTTAATGGTAAATTTTTTCACGCTGTTAATTCCATATATAAGGCACCTGTTGCTTGTGTGAAAGTTAACGAATATCTTACAGAATGGTTTTCCACGCCCTCTGGTGTTAAACAAGGGGATGTTTTATCACCAACGTTATTTGCTATTTTTATTAATGATTTGGCAAAAGAAGTAAAGCAGATGGGGAAAGGGGTATTATGTGGTCATGTGTTTGTAAACATTTTACTCTACGCGGATGATATTATTTTACTGTCAGAAAATGAAGAGGATCTACAAATAATGTTAACGTGTTGCTAAATGGTGTAAAACGTGGAGGCTCTGTATCAATCAAAAGAAAATGCAAATTATGCATTTTCGGAAACCAGGTAGAGTGAGGAGTACCTTTCAGTTTTATGTTGGTGAGAAACAACTTGAGTTCACAGATAAATATAAGTATCTTGGTTTCTTTTTAGATGAAAGTATGTCTTTTTTACCAGGTTCGTCAGTTCTAGCAGACTCAGCAAGTAGAGCGTTGGGAAGTATTATAGGTAAAACCAAAATGCTGAAAGATATGGGTTACTCTACATACTCAAAACTGTACCAAACATGTGTGTGTCCTGTTCTAGATTATATGTCAGGTATTGGGGGTTCAAAGGCTTTCAAAAGAACATACACGTTCATATTCAAGCAATTCGATTCTTTCTAGGTCTTCATAGATATGCACCTGTTTTGGCATTTAATGGAGATATGGGGTGGGATTCTTGTGAAATGAGATGGAAAGTTAATATGGTGAGATTATGGAACAGGTTATTGGATTTACCAACCAACAGGGTTGCCAGTAAAATATTTCTCTGAGATTTTTTTGTTGGAGGAGAATGGGTCTCAGAAATATTTGATGTACTAGGTGAATGTGGACTTGAAGATGATTACTTTAAAATGGGAGCTGTAAAGGTAGAGGAGTTGAAAAAACAAATCAGGACTAAACACACAGTCATGGGCAGTAGAAATCCTGCAAAAACCAAAACTGAGAACTTACTGTTTATTTAAGAAAGATTATAAATGTGAAAAATATGTTAAGTATAATTTGTCTAAAAGTAAGAGGTCACTGTGTGCACAGTTAAGATGTGGTATATTACCACTACATATTGAAATTGGAAGACACAGAGGTGTAACTGAAGAGGACAGAATCTGTGAATATTGTGACCTGAATGAGGTGGAGAATGAAATTCATTTTATCTTATATTGTCCTTTATACCATGATTTACGACAAGTTTTGTTTAGAAGTGTTTCTGTTCCTGACTTTGATTCATTTAGTATGGAGGATGGAGATTTAATTGAATATCTTTTTGATAATGTCTTTGCCTTTGCTGAATTTATTTTCAAAGCATGGGACAGGAGAAGAAAAATAACCTGTAACAGATGAATGTCTCAAATCTTATCTTGATTTATTTAAATTTTGTTTATTTGTCTGGATACAGGATATATATTATTAGTTTATGAATTGGATCAATTATGTATTTATTTATGTCTGGTACTAATAGAACTCTGTTTTTCTTTTGTTGTTGTTTGTTTGTTTTGTATCTTTGGATCTGTGTTTTGTTTTATGGTTAGGTGGCTATGGGTGTGTTGATGTGTTCATAGGTTGGTATATATCCTGGAGTATGATTTATTTGTGTGAGGCTTATGTATAGATATTGTGCTGTCCAATGAGCCGGAATGTTTGTTTTGTTGTATTTAATGTGTCTGTATAATCCGATGTGGGATGGGTCATGTAAATGTCCAGACACGAAAATAAAATATTCATTCATTCATTCACACACACACACACACACATATATATGTATGTATATTGTTGAAAAGAACAATATACACACATATATATATATATATATATATATATATACACATATATATGCATATTGTTGAAAAGAACAATATAGAATGTCACAACCTCATCCTTTAAGTTTTAAAGCAGCAAGTATTTTCTTTATGTACTAAACTGGAAAACGTTGGCATGAATACACACTGACATAGATACCAATACTATTGGTACAAGGAGAGTGACACGCCAGTACACCAGGGAACAACAGTCAAATATCTACTGGTCTATCATGTCCCTCGTAGCTAGACATGCTAGTATTTATATTAAAAAAATCTATCTATTCCCTCACACATGATGTCCAAAATAGCCATGTTCAAATGTCTTAGAAGGGTTTTGCCTTTGAAGCTGAAAAATATCCACCAGTGTAGGCTCTCAGCTGAAACCTAATCTGCCCATGCATATTGTAGCATTAGAGCTCACTGATGAGACAGTGTCAGGACAGCAACTCAGATGGACGACTCTTACCACTGCTTGGTGATGTCAAACATCATGATGACTCCATTACAGTTCTTGTACACATCCAGGAACTCTGCATCCAGGGCCACCTCATCTGACTACAACATACATATTAAACAAATGTACTATTAATCACATGATATAGAAAAGGTCTCTTAATGTGGCCTACTCAATCACTGACCCACATAATATAAATGAGCCTATTTTTTAACACATGACTGTCATATAATTGTCACCTCTTGGGGCTCATTCTCCAGTTTCAAATTATCTCCGCGCCTTTTGCCTTTGCCTGAAAGAACAAGAAATCAAAAGTCTTAAGTTTTAGATTAGCTGACAAGAAAAACATCATGACATACAGAGTTTGTTGCTTTACGTTAGATAATGGTGAGTAAAACAAGCAGAGCAGCAGACAGCTGCGTTTCCTTTGGAAAAGCTTCTTGCAGTCTAGTTTGAACACACATTATCTTTAAAATACACACTGCTGGCATTAAGTCATGGCTCACACGGTGCAGATGCTCAGGCTCTAGCTATACACAGCAGAAAGTTCAGCCAAACTCAGAAATGTAGCCACACAGCAACCCAGGGAAAAGCCGAATTTTGAGAATACTGACATTCAGATAAGAGTAGAATGAGGCGGGATAAAACCCACAGCACACAGGCAAGTTCAATTTCTATATACTATAGTGGCGCTCACCTACACCTTCAGGAAGGGGGTATTTTTGGCCTGAGATGAGTGCAAAAGAGGTGCAAAAAAGACAACATCAACACTGAGTACAGAAAAACAAACAAGCAACCATGCATCCATCTGATGTCATGAAATACTGTAGCAGGTTGACAGCAGTAGGTAGAAAAGGTGTAACTTCTTAGAGCAAGGTCAGCCTCAGTGGAAAGTTTGGTCCTTTAACTGGCATGTGTGTCAACACTCACCTTTGTCTACTACGTCCCACACCTCTACCTTGACCACATCATCAGTAGCTAAGAGAAGCAGAAAGAGTATTTGTTCAAGTTCTTGGGCCACAGAGGAAAACATTTTAAATGTGCAGGCTGTTTAGTGACTCTAATAAGGATTCAATAACTGAAAACACTAGAAGAAGTAGTGGTGGATAAAGGTTTGCTGGGCATGGCATGACTTAGGACAAATACAGGACAGCTGAGGCTAAATCTAAATGTAGTCTATTTTTTTTTTACCTTGATATGGAGCCACTGAAATAAATCACCGAGGCACAAATAGCAAATGTCAAATATTCACCAAAACAGACACATGACCAAAGCAGTAAAATAAAGTAAGATGTAATATTTAGACGTTATCTGAGCTTCAATTACTTACTTTTGTAATTCCAATGGATACTTGTGGCTTGGATCTCCTGAGTGGGTAAGTACTCCTCTACAAACTTCTTGCCCTGCAGTCGATGCCACAAAGTACTCTTTCCAGTGTTTCTATCTCCCCGGATGACTATTTTCACTTGAGTGGAAAAGAGATTGTGCATTGGGTTTGTCAGAAAACAGCCCATCACCTTTACTAAGAAGCAAATTGAATTAACTATAAGTGGGACAGACATATTTGACTGCAGAAGCCTGTTCCCCTGATTTGCTGCTAGACTTACTATTATACTGGACCCCTTTGGCAAAACGTCTCTGCAAACTTTGGTTCATTGATTGCAGGCCAGCTGGAATGTTCTTGTCCCTGAGCTGGACTGGCTCAGATCCCACCAACTTCTTAAGCGCTGAAAACATCTTGATAAGGCTTCACAAACTTGTACAGTAACACACGGTGGCACAGCGGAACTCTTTTAAAAATTTGTCACACAACAACTGAAGGAAAGGTGTAACAGTGTATCTTGACAGCTGAGGAAGTTAAGAGTCCATGCTTATAAGCAAGTATGATGCCAAATAACTAAATGTTGACTGTTAATATAGCAGGGTTCTCTTAAATCTGACGAGATGTCCTTGATTGCCAGTCAGAGATGGAGGTAACTACTACGCTGTTTTGAGCATCATCTGTGAATACAAAACAAAACAAAACAAAACAAAAAACAGAGGAATACAGAGGTTATGGTTGAGAATATACTTTGGTCTCCTTTCAAGGTGTAGGCACCATAAAAAAGGCAGGTTTGTCAAACACAAAACATATGTATCCTGTTTTCATACAGGAATAGAAATGTGCAGCGAGACTTGGTAACTTTAAAGGACACAGACTCATACCAATAATTTTCTGGTTATTTCAGTTGACAAATATCAAGAAACACAGAAAATGGTTTCCCTAAGATGGAAACAACAGCATAAAGACCCAGTCTGATGTAGCCCCAGGTTGTGCCTTTCATGTTTTGTCAATATAATCAAGTCACATGCATTTTTCTGCATAATAATTTTGCTAAGTAATTACACAATGACCAACGAAAAACCCAGACAGTTGTTTATCCTGCTCTTGAACCGCGTGGATCAAATAACAGTCCATCTGCTGCATATTAAAAAAGATTTTCACCAGTTTTCAAAGTTGTGCCATTGTTTCCTAAACCACAGGAAGATGGTAGGATGAAATGATACCACAGTCTATGTCTGTGCTCCACTTGAACAAGGTAAAGCTACATTAAACGTTTGGTTGTCACTAAGATTTATCTATATTGATGTTTTACTATATTAAAGCCACAACAATCAGTCAACTATAAGAGAAATGTTTGTGATATATTTGACTTTGCAGCACCTGCTTGTCCCATTAAATCCTAATGGGAGCTGTGACAGTGTCCCACGAGCTATTACATTATTCACCATCAAGATCAGCTTCAGGATTTGTCCCCAGCTAACATTATTGGTGCACTGGTGTCTTTGTTCAGTTTAAGAAGAGCCTAGCTCAAATTCGAAGCCAAGCTGTGCAATATGACATCACAGTGACTGTATCTCTTTCGAGACGAAATTTCCCTTAACGTTATTAACGCTAGGTGGATACCTAGCAATAGCTGCCTCAACTGTTAGCTCTAACGAGAGGGCTTCAGTTAAGTTTAGAAGCAATTTGATTAAAACATTAAAGCCATATGCTCTAAAAAAGTATGTCAACAGTGATGCGGCAGCCCGGTTTGTAACCTACCACGGCTAAAAGGTAGCATTATCCTTCGGTTTCTGTTTGAGCTAACCTAGCTACCCAGTAGATGTTAGCTTAGCTTTCCCCCCATGTACGCTCAGTAACATTGAACAGCAGCTAAACTGGATGTTTTCTTCCTGGTGGTATCAGCTACAAATACTCACGGTTATTAAATAGTTTATGACACTGCAGTCCCGACATGTTTTTTTCTCAAAACATCTGTCAGTCCCCGATCCCAAACAGAGTCGTAGCCGCTAAGTTACATTCCTTTGCAAAGACAGTTAGACAGACCCAGCGTCAAGCATGACATACAAACGCACTATTTCCGTTACAATTTTCAAAATAAATCGTATGTTTTTGCTCATGAAAGCATGAACAAAATACATTTGACAAAGGGTTAATTCTTGACCTCGGAAACAGGCGTTGAGAGAGCAATTTCACCGCAAGGTGCACTGTCCATTGACATTTTAGAATTTCTTACTTGAGCACAATATCCCATCCTAAAACTGTTGGACGTCAACACTTTGCTTTTATTTTGAAGACAAAATATCACACTTCCGAGATTATACTGGATAGGGTCCGTCCCAAGTCTCTTAAATTACTGCTAGTTATCTTCCCTAGCCGTCTTTGCTAGCTGTTTAGCCCCTCCCACCTAGGAAAAAATGTGAGGAGCAAGCGCTAGGAGCGATGAGCGAGCATTGTCGGTTTAAGAGACATGAGACGTCCTTTCCACTGTAGCGTCACGTGAAGCGACGTCCATTCCTGGTGACGGCGGCACAGCTGGATCTGCTGCATAACGGAGCCAGCGTTTAGCGTACATCCCAAGTCACATTATATTTTCTGATCAAAGCCGTAACCCCCCACTGTCACTGTGATCAGCATCATTATCATTATTATTATCATCATCACTATTATTAAATCCACTCGCCATCATTCAACAAGTCAGCTGCTGAGTGAATAAGACATCAGACCTGTCAGTCTACCTCAATCAATATAATTTTATTTATAAAGCCCAATATCACAAATCACAATTTGCCTCACAGGGCTTTACAGCATACGACATCCCTCTGTCCTTAGGACCCTCACAGCTGATCAGGAAAAACTCCGCAAAAAAAACCCTTTAACGGTAGAAACCTCAGGAAGAGCAGCTGAGGAGGGATCCCTCTTCCAGGACGGACAGACGTGCAATAGATGACGTCCAGAACAGATCAACATAATAAATTAACAGTAATCCGTATGACACAATGAGACAGAGAGAGAGACAGTGACAGAGAGAGATGCAGGACAGACGGTATTGACAGTAGCTCACAACAACATGAAAGTAATAATATTAATTAATAGCCTATTAATATTAACAGGCTAATTAATATTACCTACAAGCTATTAAACATTCCACTCACATGACATGCAGGACAATTAATGATGGGCAAATGTGTTTGTGTGTGTGTCTGTGTGCGTGGTGTTACATCAACACGTGTGGTTCTGGACATGAGCAGCTGCACATTTAACAGCCACACATCACCGACAGTCCGCTGAACAACGCAACGGGTTGTGAATGAAATAAACTTAATTACAACATGACAGTCTTACACGAAATATCATTAACGTTACTCTTTGTAGTCACGTAGGCATGTGAAATACAGCGTTTCATTGCAAAGAATGCATGTAACGGGTACACTTGCGCTGTTTCTCCGCCATCTCGTTCAAATGAGCCAGATGTAGTGGGCGGGTATTTATACGTCATGGCGTTCAGCTGAAAAACTCTTCCGGATAGGAAGCTTTCGACAATCCTAGCTCGTAGCAAGGCTATTCAAGAGAAGGCTGAGACACGGGGTCAAAAATGGGGGGATTGCACATGCGCAGTAAAATCTGGTCGGCACTTCCTCAAAGGCTCAGTAGATGGCGTGAGACCGCGGAATAAAGGGGATGTGCATGCATGTCATTTTCACAGCTTATTACTGGACTGTCACTGGTGGCCTGCGTTGTGGGTGAGAATGATAGACATGCAATTCCGACAACTTCAGGCAGCCGCCGTCCAAAAGTCCAAGCAGACCGCACCAAGCGCACTCCTTGATCGCCTGAGGGATCCTGCGCTTTTTATCTAGCGCCCCTTCTGTCATCCTCCAGCATCGCAACTCAAGTTACACTGCGCAAGTGCAATCCCCCCATGTTTGACCCCGTGTCTCAGCCTTCTCTTGAATAGCCTTGGCTTGTAGCTGCTTAAAGCTTGCTGCTAGCTCCTAGCGCTAGCTCCTTGCTGCACAAATAAGAGACTTGGGATGGCCTAGAAGATGGCGGACCTCAAACGACTTCCGGTTCAAGCGAGGAGCTAGCAGTAGCACTATAAAAATAAGAGACTTGGGACGCACCCTAATACAAGTAAATGGACTTAATTTCATAAAGTGCCTTTCTACAAAGAAATGTATATTAATGCCCCTCGTGTATTCATTCACACACACACTAATATACTTAGGAAACAGTTAGGCACCAAAAATAATGTATTTGATCTTCTCAGATGGCTAAGATAAGAACTTTATTGATCCCACACAGGAGTAATTCACGTTACATCAGCTATAGAAAACAAGGTAGTGCCAAAAAAGAATACACAGTACATATATATATATAT